ACCAGTCATTAACCTTCCTTTGGGCCGGATAATTACCGCATGGATGTAAATACACACTACATTTAATATTTTCATGAGAAATGTTATATATGAGAGGTCACTTTGGCGACTTCATATATTGAATTACTCAATCTAATATTAAACAATCACTAATTGAATTTCAACCATATTAGTCAAATTGACTTGATCTTAATTTGTTGACTAAAATATTTAAAGCATGTAAATCATTTAATTTATGTCAACAAACAACTTTATAGAACCAATACTATGTTTAATCCAACATAATATTGTAACAATATTATTAAATCAACATAATATTGCAACAATATCTAATTAATTAAATTCATATTAATTAGATAAAATCCAAAAATAATATTATTAAACCAACATAATATTGCAATAATATCTAATTAATTAAATTCATATTAATTAGATAAAATCCAAAAAGAATTTGGAAAATTTATGCCTTGTAGTGCAAAAATGAATTTTGCATATTGATGAATAGGAAAAGACACTAAGTGGAAAAGATAATCCAAAATTAAACTGATATCACATCAGAAAAAGGTACTAAATTGAATGTGAAGCATGCTGTAGCATGATTACATAAATCCATAATCTTTTCCAACGATAATAGAACCAAATCACTTCAAAATAGCATGATTACATAAAACTATCATCTTTCCCAATGATGATAGAACCAAATTACTTTATTGATGAAAACATCATTAAATTTCATGAGAAAACAAGCTTAAATGTTCATCAATCACTGTAGGAGGGCTCTGATACCACTTGTTGGGGTTCTCTTAACATATCAAATATGGATCAAACAATTGTTTTATAGAATCAAAACCGAATAGATCCAAAATAATGGATTAAGAATGTTTCCATAAAACTTATTTAATCCACTATAATATGCATGAAATCCTACAACAATTGATAAACATATTAACACGGAAGCGTACCTGATGAATCCATTAGAGTATTTTCTGAATTGATCGGTGATTTGGTCTTCC